CACTGAACAGCAAAGTAATTCTTCACAAGGAGCCTCAAGTTAAAGACTTCTCAGTGTTAAGAGCTGTCCCAGTTACTATTGTTGAAAATGTGGAAAAAAAACAACAGTGAAATACTGAATGTCATCTAATGTCAATGGAAACATGCAGAGGCAAATGACATCTGAGTGGTGCGGCAGTCAAACACTGAAGACTGAAAGTAAGGAAGAGCTTAAGTAACAGCTTTAATAAATACCCTGGAGTAATCTCAAACTACATTTTATCTGGAATGTCTCTGCAGAAATGGTGACTATTGAATGACAGAACTTCCTTTTCACTTGAGGCACATTTTAAATTGACATTTATGTATAACGAAGATAATCACCGGCCTGGAGCATCTCCTGTCCAAGGAAAGGCTGAGAGACGTGGGGCTGCTCAGCTTGGGGAAGCAAGATTGAGAGAAGATCTGATCAATGATTGTAAGTGCAGGTATGAAGTGCAGGTGGCAATTCAATGAGGCCAGACTCTCTTCAGAGATAAGTCAAGGAGGTGGAACGTAGGAAGATCCACACAAACATGTGGAAGAACTTTCCTGTCAGTGATGGAGCACTGGAACAGGCTGCCAGAGAGGTGTGTAGTCTCCTTCTAAGCAGATATTCAAGACCTGGCTGGACGCTGACCTGGGTGACCTTTTGTAGGAAACCTGTGTTATCAGAGGCTTGGACTTGATCATCTCTAGAGGTCCATTCCAGAACCCATGGTTCTGTGATTATGTATCAGCGTGCTAGACCTACTGCATTAATAACAAATATCTTATGTGTTAAGGACAAGCATGGATAAATATTTTACACTTTATACACCTTAAAAAAAAAGAACCCATATCTGGATTGTGCTTCCTTCCAGTTGTGCTGTGATAAATGATGCAAGTTTCACAGAACTACTGATTTAGCACAAATCTTCAGATTTCACAAAATTTCACAGATTTCACGAATACTTCACAAAGAATACTTCAGTCCTTCTTTACCTGCTACAGTTATTTCCTGTAGCTACACTGCAAGACTCTACTCTGCTGAACACCAGCCTGAAGGCCAAGCCATATGCCCAGATTACCTTCCAGCGTAGATAACCCAGAAGTTGACAGCTGTAAACCAAAGAAGGATGAGAACATGAGTGCTGCCATACAGAACATAGCACCTCTAAGTTCTGGGACCCAAAAAACTGCTGAATGGAATTCACCACTTTGAGTCTGAATGCTAGGTTTCTCCATGCAGAATCTTTTCAATCTGCACTTCAGTTAGTAGACCGAAAGATTTGTATGCATGCATATTACTGTCAAGACAGACTTCTATACTAAACCTGACTTTAAGAAAAAAAGGAACACTTCAAACGGAGGATAAGCATTTATCTAGGCATCAGCTCTCACTATTTAAAACAACATAGCTTTAAAAGTCAATTTATGTGACTCATAGGAACAACTCTGAATTCTGATAAGATTTAAAGACACTTCACAAAATACAATGACTTATTAACATACCGCTTTGGCCCTTACAGCACTCATGTATATTACAACTACACATTTTAAATGCATTCACATAGAGATTATTTACACAAGCTCATGCGATTTCTGAGGTTCACTTCTGTGAAGTAGTTGTAACCAACAGTGAATACCAAGATCAAAAAGGAGAGCAGAGCAATAACTGCATCTGCAGAATGTGATGGTGAAGAAATGACAAAAGGCACACCTGGCTTGGTTTCCATTCACAAGCTTCTCCTTCATACTCTCGCATACTTCTGATCAACAAAAATAATTCTTCACATGAAATGTGGTTATCTCCCTTTAGGCTTGCCCTGTCCATGGCTGTTGATGATGTGCTGCCACCTAGCACATGCTTCCAGAAAGTTTAGTTCATACACATCTTGTAGTACAGCAAACTATTCTGTGATACCAGAAAATCATCACACAGCAATATTTTTAAGGATTCCTTCAGTGTGTATGCCTATAAAGACGAGAATACAATTATAGTCAAATGTAGACAAGCATGGCAGAAAAACAGCCATACACATTTGACACATAAAAGTAAGTCATCTTTTTATCTTTGTTCAATTAGTGTTTGTTTTTTTTTTTTTCTCTAAACAAAGAAAAAGAAAGTGAAAAGCAGTAAAAATAACACTACTTTCCTCTTCTTTCCCAAGAACTCTAATTTTCACATTTTTAATTCCCTTTAACTTTCTGCAACCTTTAGTCTCCCTATAATTCTCTACCTCCTACTCTGCCTTGGGCACAGATGTCAAAACTCAATAGAAAAACAGAAATGGGATGTCTGAATCACACACACACAAAAACAAACAAACAAAAAAACAACAAAAAACCTTTTCTCACATGAAATCACACTGCAATTATACAGTAATCACATTTAAATTTTTTTTCATTTTCATTCGCCATTAGATTGGAAGAGCTGGGAGAATCTGCTGTTCCATGGGTGCACTATTTTCTATCTAAATGATACCTTTTAAAAGACTTCCAAGATCTCCTCTCCAAATTAACGAGCTGAGGTTTAACAAAAGCAAGTGTAGAGTCTTGCATCTAGGGAGGAATAATTGCATGCACTGGTACAGGTTGGGAGGAGCTCTGAAGAGAGGGACCTGGGTGTCCTGGTGGATGACAGATTGGCCATGAGCCAGCAGTGTGCCCTTGTGGCCAAAAAGGCCAATGGCATCCTGGGGTGCATTAAAAAGAGCGTGGCCAGCAGGTCGAAGGAGGTGATCCTCCCCCTCTACTCTGCCCTGGTGAGGCCTCATCTGGAGCACTGCGTCCAGTTCTGGGCTCCCCAGTACAAAACAGACAGGGATCTCTTGGAAAGAGTCCAGCGGAGGGCCACAAAGATGGTGAAGGGCCTGGAGCATCTCTGCTATGAGGAAAGGCTGAGTGATCTGGGTCTGTTCAGCCTTGAGAAAAGGAGACTGAGAGGGGACCTGATCCAGGTCTATAAATATCTAAGGTGTGGGGGGCAGAATGGCGAGGCCGGACTCTTTTCAGTAGCGTGTGAAGACAGGACAAGGGGAACCTGTGCGACCTGGTGTAGGGAACCTGCTTTGGCAGGGGGGTTGGACTTGAGGATCTCTGGGGGTCCCTTCCAACCCCTACGATTCTGTGAAATGACCAAATTAACTCAAAGACTGCCAAAAAAGAAAGGAGACACACTGCAGTCTTTTGTTTCATTTCCCTGCATAAGATTTTCATAACATTGCTTCCTTCAAGATTCTCTAGTGATAAGGGAAATAATCACCCCATCAAACACCTGCATTGCTGTCATACCAAGACACTTTCACATCTTACTTCTTGATAATATTGGCAACAAATGCCTGCATTGTCCATTAGGAGCACACACTTGTTTTTTTTTCTCTTTTGTGGTGTTTTCAACATGACAGTAATAGAGATCTCCTGTCACTGAATAAACTGACCCTATTCCAACAGTGATTGCTTTAAAAACCAGTAACAAACATACTTAACAAACAAACTTAAATTTCTTACTGCAATAATTGCCATTATGTCTATTTGATACAATCTAACGAATGCACTGTATGAAACTGATTTTTACACATTAATATCACCCATTACCAAACTGGAAGCGCATGCAAGAGAAATTTAGTTCTAATACAATTACTTGATTAATGCTCACTCACTATCATCCCACCTTTATCAGAGAAAGAGAAATATTTCTTAACAATAAGACAAACTCTCAAAAAAGCTTCCCAGGAAGTTAAATACACAGAGCATTATCCTGGTGAAGAAAATTTTATGACCACTTTCTGCAGTAGATAATACACTAGAGATGCTTTATGATAAGTTGCATAAACGGGAAAAAAAACGTTAGATCTATAGACAGCAGGTCTCCATCAGAAAGATGTGGCTCTTAACTCTTCACCAGCTTGATCTGTTGTCTCTCTTAATGGGTAGATAGCAAAGGTTTCAGTCGGCACTACAGAATGTCTTAAACTGATATGCTTTATACAGTGCCTAACTTTTTGTCTCTGGAACTTTCTGATGCAAGTTCACCACTTCAGGAATCTCTCAGAGAACTAACCTCTGGTTTCTTCTTGCTACAGGGTGCTAGCTGAGCTGTGAGAAATAAAACCATCACCAGTGTCTTTACTGAAACCTGTCCATCTTCTCTACACAAACTACTACAATCGTTCTCCTGAAGAATGGTTTGGTCATTCGTCATTCAAGTACTGTTTCTTGCTCCAATTCTTCCCATAAGAGCATCTCTCTTCTGTAAGGAATGAAAAGTTCTTATTTGGAATTTCTTTAGCAGGCTTCAGTGTGAAGCTGCTTACATGTGACCTAATTTGGCAGCCACAAGAACCAAAGGCTAATAATCAGCTCGACAGCTGCATGTGATATAACATTAAGCTACACATTTTCTGATGAACAGGTTACTTCCCCCTCCTGAGTTGCATGCAGATCACCCCCTCGGAGCTGTTATGTGCCTGGAACATAAGACTTGCTTTTAACAAATTAGGGAATAATTAGATAAGCACCAATTCTAGTTCTCTTGCAGATGATGAATAGCGACTGTAACGAGTTACCCAGGCACAGTGCTGGAGCTGGTACAACAGGTGCAGCAGAATTACCATGTTTAAAGGCGCACAGCGGGTAACTCTGGCTGTGCCAGGCTCTTCACATGCAATGATTGATTAACAAAACCCCCACCACAACAGAAACACACCGCACTATAGCATTCTACTCATTCTATAAAGCGTGAAAGCAATATTAAGCCCGCTGAAAGAGAGGACAGGAGAGGCTCTGAGGCGTTGATTCGCCACGCTCGGCTTCTCTACCAGAAGGGAAACGTGCCCGGCCCGGCTGAGCCGTGGCAAGGCGTGGCGGAACAGGCACTGCGGCAGCGCCTCGCAGCCGGGCCGGGCCGGGCCGGGCCAGGCCGCACCTTCCCTTCCTTTCTCTTTGCTCCACAGCCCATCTCCGCCCCGTCCGTCCCCACCCGTTCCGTTCTCCGCTCACCTCGTTGTTGAGGTTCAGCACCGGAGCCATGCTGCAGACCCCACGCCTCCTCACCGCCACAGCGAAGCAAAACTAAGCGCATGCGCCGTTCGCTCCGCGGCGGGGCCGCTCGAGGCTGAAGCTCTATGGTTGCAGCCGCTCTAGGCGGCATCTCGCAGGCCGCGGTCCTCCCACCCCGCCTAGGCGCGTGGTTTCCGTTTCCGGTTGGCAACTTCCGGTCGTGGGGGTGGGGAGGGTGGGTGGTGTGCTTCGTGGTGCGGCATTGAGCGCCCCTTGCAGCGCTGGGTCTTATTTCCAAACGGCTGGGATAGTGCATACGGCCTGTCCTTTGTTCTAACCCTCTGGATCTATTCCTGCCTTAATACGTAATCTGCAGCAGTAAAGCTGGTCCTCATCAGTGCACAGAACAGTGCTGTGTCGCAGGGCCTTCCTTCACATACAAGAATTTATGTATTTCTGCTTGTTTTCCCAGCCTCTATTTAGTTGATCCTAAAAGAAAAACTCATCAGAGATGGTTCTCTCCCCCTCAGAGGGGAGATTGTACCCCCTTGGTACGATTTCTCTACAGATGTCCCATTACATCCCATACAGTTCTTCAGTTTCCACAAACACCATGTTTATGGAACAATGAAAAAAGAGTTTATGATTGGAACTCTCAGTTGTATAAAAACTGGTCCTGTTACTTCATTTATGTTCCCGGTTTCTTGTTCAGTGCTCCTGGTGGAAACATCCAAAGAATAAATCAGCACAGCATCTCCGATAAAACAGATTTTATTCACAATTGCAATGGCACACAGAAAAAAAGATTACATCATTTATGTCCCATTACCTGATGCTTCTCTCTTCCTCCCCTGGTTCATCATTGACTGAGTATTTCAGGTTCACAGTCTTCCCGACACTCAACTGAACATACAGATATTGGCTAAACATAAATAGTTAATTTATATTTTATATTATTTATATTATAACATATAATTTATATGTTATAATATACATAGTATATAAGACATATAATATAGTATCAAGTAATATAATATTTCTATTGTATAAATACATATATAATATAAATATGTAGTGACATAGTATATAATCTATATAATATAAATATAATATATAGCATAAAATAAACATATGCATATATATATTATCTATAATATATAACAAATATAACAAATATATATTATATATATCATATTATTATATATAATATAATATGTTGCTAATTAATTGACTTCTAACACTTGCTTCCTGGACACCTGTTCATACTTGGACAAAGATAAGTTTGGAAGGAGGATGGAGGGGAGTATCTGCTGCATCCTTTCGATCCAAAAGTGAGACAGTTGGACCTCGTGTAGAGGCCCTGGCTTCTTTGATGCTTGACAAGCCTGTTATCCTTAGGCTAAGGGCCTCTTGGCAAAACAAAATAGCCTTTGAGTATGCTTTTTAGCCTATAATAGAAAAGCTGCAGCCTTTGTACTTGTTAATTACTTCATCTACCTACTAAGCGTGCATCAATATGGAAAGTTTATCTAAAGGAGAAATGATGAGGACTAATAAAGACCCCATTTTGTTGGAAAGTAAAGAGAATGATCAAAAGAATTACTGGTGTCGATAAAGGACAGCAGATGTCAGCAGAGACCATGAAAACTCATCTTGTTGGTTCTAACTGCAAAACATTCCATTCCCACATTCCCCCTGGCTGATCAGTGACGTTTCTCCAGTGAGCCAAAATACAACCCAGAATAGTCTTTTTTGGCATTTCTTTCGACATGCTTTGTCCCATACCAGCTGCTTATGCCGACCATCTTGGATACTGGGTGAAAATCCCTTGTGTATTGCTGGGTAATGGTGTCCACCTGTTTCCCCAGGGCACGGGAACACCAAATTTCCTGGGCAAGAGTCATAACCAACATCCCCCAGCAAGACAAGAATATTTTAAACAGGGAATGGAATTCCACAAGTGATGTTTTTACATCACAAACATTGAACAATTACAAAGACAGAGAGTGACAATGACTAACACAGTTATCTATACAAGGGACTAGATCCTGCAAGAAGGCTTTTTGCGGCACAAGCATTGAGAGATTGTAGCAATTACTACCATAGTTCCTATAACTGGTCAGGGAAAAAAAGAAGAAGAAAAAGAAGAAAATCAAAACTGTTCAGACATTCACTGCAAACGCCCTCCTAGACTCAGGAGAGTCTGAATTACTGATTGATCGGTTCCCGTAGGATTCCTCAAACCTGTGGGCCGACAGGGCCTTCCTACCCTAGCCAACAACCTTGCTTGTGAGCTCACGTTCCTCAGGGAGGAGCATACGTTCCTTCATACCCTGCATGGGACATCTCCTTACAACTTATGGCTTCCCTGTTCTCAACATACCTGGTTCGCAGCTGGGGTTCTCTCCCTGTTCTGTAGTGTATGTGTTGGCCCAGGGAGTCTTCTCCAAGAGTCTCTTGGGGTGCACCAGAAGCATCCCCTGGGCCGACCAGCCCCATGGCCCAGCAAAGAGCCTCCTGACTGGCTCACCAAATTGGCATGCAGAATCACATTCCATTACCATAAAGCAGGTATGTTTACTCAGCACTGCGTACATGCTGGATGCAGAGGGGTAATCCCTCCAAGCCTGCATACCAGAGGTCAGGAAGGGCACGTACTTCAAGAACAAGCTGCTTACATATGCATTACATGCCCATGAAAAGGCTGGGTTATTACAATGAGTCCCCCGAATGACTGACATTCTTCCCCCCCACCCTTGAATCTCAGTTCTTTTATGCATGCATGGTATCTCAGGGGTCATTTGGTAGTCTTTCTGATGAAGGCCATCTTGTTCACTGTGTATTCTGTGACTGGCTTTGGCCCTTCATCTTATTGGCTATGGTTCTGTCCATCAATCCGTTGGTTCTTCATTAATTTGTGGTTTACTGTTCCAGCCAGCTGTCTCTCATTGCAGACATGGGGCAGCTAACAATGTTACAGTAGGACATGGGCTTCTCTCACCCACGCCTAGATCTTCAGGGTCCTGGCAGACATGGGGAGGAGCCGGACCACCAGTGAAGACTAAGGCAACACGCTCTTTGAGCAGATTAGCTTTTTCCTTGTCTGAGGAAGCCATCTCTCTGTTCTTATTTATCAGAGCGGGAACACTGTCCTTGATCTGTCTCCTGTGTATGTACCTGTAGAACCCCTTCTTGTTATTTTTCATATCCACCACCAAGTTTAGCTCTACTTGTGCCTTGGCTTTCCTAATCTTATTTCTACACATGCGGACAATGTCCCTGTATTCTTCCCAGGCTACACAACCTTGCTTCCACTTTCTGTACATTTCCCTATTTTCCCTCAGTTTAAGCTGCAAGTATGTGCTCAGCCATGCCAGTCAGCTGCCTCCTCTGCTCGGTTTCTTCTGCTGGGGGATTGAGAGCTCTTGTGCTCTCAGAAGGGTGTCCTTAAAGAGCTGCCAGCTCTGTTCTGTGCCCATGCCCTTAAGGACGCTATCCCAGGAGATCCCACCCAGCAATTCCTTGATCAGCCAGAAGCTTGCTCTCCTGAAGCTCAGGGCCCTGACTCTAGTTTTTGCCAGGTCTGCATTCCTCCAGATCACAAACTCCACCAGGGCATGGTCATTACAGCTCAGGCTGCGTGCACTCTTAACCTCTCTAATGCTCTCCTCCACTCTGGTGAGCACCAGGTCCAGTAAGACTTCACCTTGGGTGAGTCTGTCTGGACAAGGAAGTTGTCCTCGACAGAATCTAGGAATCTCTTGCATTGTCTGCCACGTGCCATGCCGCTATCCCAGCAGATATCGGGTGGTTGAAATCCCCCACCAGAACAAGAGCCTGTGAGCATGACACCTCCTGCAGCTGGAGCAAGAAGGCCTCATCAACAGGCTCCCCCTGATCAGGTGGCCTGTAGCTGACCCTAACCACTACATGCCCTTTACTGGTTTGATCCCTGATTTTCACCCATAAGCTCTTAACCTGGTCATCGCTTCTTCATGTTGTCCTCTGTCATTTCCATAGTGATGACCCTACGGTACAAGAGCGGAAGGCACTGAGATCCAGAATTGCTCCTGGTAGCTCAAGCCTGCCCAGACAGCAGTGCTCGATGGGTGAGGTGCCTGGTTCTTTCCGCAGAGGAAAGCGGGACTCCCATCTCCAAGTGCTTCCTGGAGAAGACCAAGCTTTCCACTTACAGGACGAGAAAGAGTCCTGAGGGCCAGCTGTAGGCCAGTCACTGGGGAGGCTGACCGCAGCCTCTGCACCCCTACAGCCCTGGCCCGGGTCACACTACGCGCGCCCTGCAGCGGCCCTCATTGGGCTAAGAAGGAGGCCTCAGCAGGTGGCAGGTCTGCGCCTGCCGCCCAGCCCGCAGCAAGGCTTTTCTGCCCCAGTGCTCCTTCTGGAAAACAGGCAGAGGGCAAGCAGTGCTTCTGAGATGGGCCACCTTGCTTGCCCTCAGCTCCAGAGCTGGAGCTCTTCCCGTCCCTTTGTGCTTGGCCCAGGGACAAAGGAGGAAAGCAGTGGCTCGGGGAAAGCTTGGTGAGCCGGGCCCTGAGGACCCACAGTGCTCCTGGTCCCAGGCTGCTGCTACCACTTATCATTTCCTGCCTGCCCACAGTTCCTGCCTGAATATACAAAATTCAGCTTGTCAGCTGTCTCTGTGATGCATTTTGTCTCCAGGTTCCAATATTCAGGTTTTGCTGTGTTTCAGTACCTGATTTCTGAATGACTTCAGGCAATTCTGTGAATGAATGAGCTGAAGCTAAAGCACTTTCAGTCATAGTCTTAATCAAGTCTTACCTGCAAATGGTCAGGGTAGTCCTTCAAAGCAGAGTTTTCAAGAGCAATTTTGGTTGCCTCAGAAAGTGGTTCTGGTAGTTCAGTAGCAATCTGTGTTTCATGCATGAAAATGAGCAAAGATAACTGAAGGATAGGATCACAGAATCACAGAACTAAGGTTGGAAAAGACCACTAAGATCACCCAGTCCAGCCATCAGCCCAACCCCTCCATGCATTCTAGACAGGTCTATTGTTGCCACATCTCCATATTTCCTTAATTCCTTCAGGGATGATGATTCCACCACTTCCATGGGCTTCACCACTCTATTTGAGAAGGAGTATTTGCTAATATCTAACCTGAAGCTACTCTGTGAACAGACTTTTTAC